GCGAGATCCGCCGAAATGCAAACTCCCCGTTTGCCGCTGAAATCCCATTGCGGCCGTTCTTTTTACTGTTTGGCCGGCCGTGCATCGGCGGCCGTTGGTTTATTGATGTTTTCGTTGCCGTTCTCATGTGCTTATGGTAAACCACTCTGCGATCCTGACAGATGGGAGGGTGATCTGGAAGAATAAGTCAATTGATGTTAAAAATAAATATGTATTATACTATCTCCGTAGCTCTCGGCCGTTGATCTCTCTCGGGTTTCCCTGGAACTGATGCTCAGTGGTGTTGTAAACAAAACCTGCCCTTTTCCCCTTATGGGGTATCCAAGAGCCTTTATAGAGTCCTTACGTAGGTTCCCTATTGGTAGGAGAAAATAACAGAGGCCAACGAGAGAATATTGAGAAGCAAAGCAGCTAGTAAGCCTGATCTTTATTAAAGCTGTTGCAACAGGGTGCTCCCCTCACCCACAGGAAAGGAGGACCCAGAACCAAGGTGTGCCCCCCATTATATAGACATTTTAAATTCCCTGCCCTGGAGCTCAAGACCACTCCTCCATACATCATACATACATCACAGAAGGGGTGTAATCCAAGACCACCCCCCACAAACATCATACCTACATCACAGAAAAGGCAGTCTACAACAGAAATCTGAGTGCGTTGTTTATCTCTTGTCTGGCAGGTTATCTGATAATGCCTTATCTGATTGCCTTTTCCTGGTACAGCCATACCTCATGTTACGGATGCTTCAGGTTACATCTTTTCAGGTTGCCTCCCGCGGCGACCCAGAAGTACCGGAAAGGGTTACTTCCGGATTTCGCCGCTCGCACATGCGCAGAAGCGCCAAATTACACCACGCGCCTGCGCAGATACGGTGTTTCAGGTTTCTCTCTTTTCAGGTTGTGAACGGGCCTCCGGAATGGATCCTGTTTGCAACCAGAGGTATCACTGTAGTCTCTCAGCCTTTGAAATGGTGATTACTAAATTCCTGTAACAAAGAAGGTTTTTTTTTCTCCTCCTGCGTCCTTGCAGAGAAACATTTGGTCAGCTTGGGAGTCAAAATGGTTTCAGGACTGTCTTCCTGTGCTGCTCCAGACATGCGGTTTGCTTGGTACATTTATGAACATTTAAAGCCATGGTTTTCCCAGTAGTGATGTATGGAAGTGAGAGCTGGACCATAAAGAAGGCTGATCGCCGAAGAATGGATGCTTTTGAATTATGGTGCTGGAGAAGACTCTTGAGAGTCCCATGGACTGCAAAAAGATCAAACCTCTCCATTCTGAAGGAAATCAGCCCTGAGGGCTCACTGGAAGAACAGATCATGAAGCTGAGGCTCCAGTACTTTGGCCACCTCATGAGAAGAGAAGACTCCCTGGAGAAGACACTGATGCTGGGAAAGATGGAGGGCACAAGGAGAAGGGGGCGACAGAGGACGAGATGGTGGGATAGTGTTTTCGAGGTTACCAGCATGAGTTTGACCAAACTGAGGGAGGTAGTGGAGGACAGAGGTGCCTGGCGTGCTCTGGTCCATGGGGTCACGAAGAGTCGGACACGACTAAACGACTAAACAACAAAATTATATATCTAAGACCTTAAAAATCTTATTACAGTGGCTCCACTTCGAGATCTTTCCTTTTGTAACCTTCCACCAGAGGTGGGAAGCCACAAATGTGGGCTGGGGGAGGAGGCACTCTTTTCAGGGGTCTTCTTCTGCCAGCCCACCACAGTGAAATGTCTCTGCTCGTCAGGGAGGAGTCCCAGGCGCTCATGTCGTTGCAGATACACTGGAACCTTGGTTCTCAAACTTAATCCATTCCAGAAGTCTGCTCCAAAACCAAAGCGTTCCAAAACCAAGGTGCACTTTCCCATAGAACGCAATGCAAAACGGATTAATCCGTTCCAGACTTTGGGAAAACAACCCCTAAAACAGCAATTTAACATGGATTTTTACTATCTAACGAGACCATCGATCCATAAAATGAAAGCAATAATCAATGTGCTGTACTATAAAATAAATAAATAAATAAATAAGTATAAATAAAATAAAATAAAATAAATAAAATAAACCCTTACCTGCACTGATGATAGTCATTGTTTGGATGGGGGGCTTTTATCCATTTCCGCAGTCGCACAATCGATCTATCAGTAGCTGAACTGGGGTTCCACACAGTCACAAAAACAAATTAACCGGAAAAGCCTCAAAAACAAAAATGCAAAATAAATAACAAAGACAAAAGCGCCAAACTTAATCCATTCTGGAAGTCTCTTTGACTTCAGGAATGTTCAAAAACCAAGGCGCAGCTTCTGATTGGTGACTGTTCCTTTCTTATGCAGACACCTTTGGCATGTGGTTTCACAAGATAAGGCACTACAAAGAAACAATAGCCACAAAAGGCCTCTAGCCTGGCTAGTTAGCTGAGCTTATAGGTCTCTGTGTGCATCAATTTAATCCCCAGAACAGCCCTGCAAGGTAGGCGGATGTGAGCAAATTTGTGGCCTGGCGTCCCCTGGTGAGATTCATGGCCCGAGGGCAGTTTCGAAAAACGGGACCATTCCGTCTCGCCTGCTTACGAAACCTGGGTGGAAAAGGTGTTCTTGCACACCTGGAGTTTCAAGGCGTTCTCCGTACACCTGGAGGGGGGTGGGGTGGGAGGCAGGAAAACCTGGATATGTCAAATCAACCTTGGAGGTCCAGCAACCCCAGCTGACACACTCTGCAACGGTGCAAACGAACGACGGCTGGCCTAACCCCTTGGAAGCCAGTAATAAATTGCTAATTTTATTTATTACTGTTTCTACAATCATAGAATTGTAGAGTCAGAAGGGACCCCGAGGGTCATCCAGACCAACCCCCTGGGAATCTCGACACGCGGTCCCCCATCCAATTTGAAACCATACCGGACCCTGCTTAGCGTTGCAAATCTGCTACTGGTTTTATGGCTGCACCGTGTAATTCAGGTGAGCAGCCGGAGATGCACAGAGCACAATTCAAAGTGTTGGTGCTGACCTTGAAAGCCCTAAACGGCCTCGGCCCAGTAGACCTGAAGGAGCATCTCCACCCCCATCGTTCTGACCGGACGCTGAGGTCCAGCACCGAGGGCCTTCTGGCGGTTACCTCCCTACGAGAAGCAAAGTTACAGGGAACCAGGCAGAGGGCCTTCTCGGTGGTGGCGCCCGCCCTGTGGAACGCCCTCCCATCAGCTGTCAAGGAAATAAAAAACTATCTGACTTTTAGAAGACATCTGAAGGCAGCCCTGTTTAGGGAATTTTTTTAACGTTTGATGTTTTATTGTGTTTTTAATATTCGGTTGCAAGCAACATAATGAACATGGCAAATGGGCACTGGGACCAGGTGCGCAGCCTGGGAGTCATTTTGGACTCACAGCTGTCCATGGAGGTGCAGATCAATTCTGTGTCCAGAGCGGCTGTCTCGCAGCTCCGTCTGCCAGCAGGCTGTCTCGCCAGAGTGGTGCATGCTCTGGTTATCTCCTGCTTGGACTACTGCAATGCGCTCTACGTGGGGCTACCTTTGAAGGTGACCCGGAAACTACAACTAATCCAGAATGCGGCAGCTAGACTGGTGACTGGGAGTGGCTGCCGAGATCACATAACACCGGTCCTGAGAGATCTGCATTGGCTCCCAGTACATTTCTGAGCACAATTCAAAGTGTTGGTGCTAACCTTTGAAGCCCTAAACGGCCTCAGTCCTATATACCTGAAGGAGCATCTCCACCCCCATCTTTCTGCCCGGACACTGAGATCCAGCACCGAGGGCCTTCTGGCAGTTCCCTCCCTGCGAGAAGTGAGGTTACAGGGAACCAGGCAGAGGGCCTTCTCGGTAGTGGCGCCCACCCTGTGGAACGCCCTCCCATCAGATGTGAAGGAAATAAGCAGCTACCCTATCTTTAAAAGACATCTGAAGGCAGCCCTGTTTAGGGAAGTTTTTAATATTTAACGCTGGATTGTTTTTAACACTTAGAATCATAGAGTTGGAATAGACCACAAGGGCCATCGAGTCCAACCCCCTGCCAAGCAGGAAACACCATCAGAGCACTCCTGACATATGGTTGTCAAGCCTCTGCTTAAAGACCTCCAAAGAAGGAGACTCCACCACACTCCTTGGCAGCAAATTCCACTGTCGAACAGCTCTTACTGTCAGGAAGTTCTTCCTAATCTTCTTTCTTGTAGTTTGGATCCATTGCTCCGTGTCCGCTTCTCTGGAGCAGCAGAAAACAACCTTTCTCCCTCCTCTATGTGACATCCTTTTATGGCTATCATATCACCCCTTAACCTCCTCTTCTCCAGGCTAAACATGCCCAACTCCCTTAGCCGTTCCTCATAAGGCATCGTTTCCAGGCCTTTGACCATTTTGGTTGCCCTCCTGGACACAGTACTCCAGGTGAGGTCTGACCAGAGCAGAATACAGTGGCACTATTACTTCCCTTGATCTAGATGCTATACTCCTATTGATGCAGCCCAGAATTGCATTGGCTTTTTTAGCTGCCGCGTCACACTGTTGGCTCATGTCGAGTTTGTGGTCAACCAAGCCACTTGATTGGGAGCTGCCCAGAGTGGCTGGGGAAACTCAGCCAGATGGGCAGGGTATCAATGATAAATAATTATTATTATTATTATTATTATTATTATTATTATTATTATTATTATTATTATCTTCCCACGCCAAACAAACACGCCACACACCGAAAGCGCATTTTCTCCAGCAAAGAATCCTGGGAAGCCTAGTTTCTAGGGTGCCGTGAAACGTAGTTCTGAGTTGGGCGTCCGCAACTACAGTTCCCATGGTTGTTTGGGGGGGAAAGGGAGCCACGCCGTTCAAATGAGAGCTTCGCCCAGAAACCGCTGCAGGCCACGCCCTCCAGCAGCACGCTAGCGGCCCATTGGCCAGCCAGAAGGACATGGCCGCTCTTGGGGGGTCCCTGATTGGCCGGCTGCTTGGTATAAGAACCCATGGGACAGGCTGGGTTGAGCCCATTTTGGCTCCGACCTCCGAGGGCTCCATTTCTTCCTTGTTGGGGTTTCTGCCTGTGGGGATTGGGCCAGGAAGAACTGGGGGGGGGGCTGCTCAGCTCCACACAAGGGGAAGGGACCACCCAGTGGGGCAGGAAGCCCCCAAGCATCTCCTTGGGCTGGTGGTATGTAAAAAGGGGCAGGCAGAGGGCTGGCTGGTACTCTTTTGTTCGGTCCTGGGTTCAAATGGCGCACCCTGCTCCGTTCATCTCTATTCCTTAGCAAAAACTTTTTTAAAGCTTGGGGTTTTTTGTCCCCCCCCAAAAGAAATACAGTTAGGAAAAATGTTTGTCTGTTTGTTTGTATATATATATACATACATGTATGTATGTATATGTATATATATATAGAGAGAGAGAGAGTAATGTTTTTCTTTTATGTTTGCTATAAATTTTTTTGGGGGGGGATTTGGAAAAAATAATATGAGAGGTCTTCCCATTTGCTACATTTAGGCGCCTGCTTGCAGCACCATCGCTTTTATTGCATTTGAATCCCGCCAGCTAGCCCTGGGGGTTATCTAATTGATTTTTGAATTTTATTGCTATTCATGTTTTTATACTGTATTTTATGCTGCTTTTATAATTAAGTGTTTTAAAGTGTTTTAGATTTGTTAGCGCCCTGAGCCCGGATTTTGAACCAGGAAGGGCAGGGTAAAAATAAAATTATTATTATTATTATTATTATTATTATTATTATCCTCCCAGAATCCCAAGGTGGCCTAGGCAGTTCTCCCTCTCTCCATGTTACACCTACGATGACCCTGCGAGATGGGTTAGGCAGAGAGATGGGTGACCCTCTGCGCACTCGTAACCATTGCAGCGCGACAGGAGGGTGCCAGGTTGCAAAGGGAGGCTTAATTCATCAAAGGTCGTTAAATCGATTCGGATTAATTCATCGTGGTTATTGAACCAGATTTACAAGCCGCTGCGTCGTCAGAAGACCTCAGAGCGGTTTGCAAAAACCACGCCCTGCTTTCCTTTGCTCCCATTTTGCTTTACCAGATTAGCCTTTCAAAACGGACCATAATACTGCAGTGGGTTCAAGTCCTACCTCCAGAGCAGGAGAAAACAAGCTTTTTCCACGTGAAAGATATTGGAAGATGGCTCCCATTTCTCATGTCAGTCTCTTCTTCTCCAGGCTAAACACACACACCCCTACTCCTTCAACCGTTCCTCATCAGGCTCGGCTTCCAGATCCTTGACCATCTTGGCCAGGGGTAGTGAAATATACTCGGAGTCGAGTGTGGATTTCATGCTCTTTATTCAGCTCATGGTAGTGAGGAATGCCAGTTCCCCCAAAATGTCTGCTTTATATACATTATTTACACAATGGGCCCCATGTGATTGGCTAATTCCAGGATTCTCCTGTCAGCCAATCAGGTTGGGGATTCACTTCCACCTGGAGCTGGATTGGGTGGCTCCCGCGGACCAATCAGACTGCTGCATTCTGGACCCTATTGTTCTAGGACCAATCAGACTGCTGCATTCTGGATCCTATTGTTCCAGGACCAATCAGACTGCTGCATTTTGGATCCTATTGTTCCAGGACCAATCAGAATGCTGCATTCTGGATCCTATTGTTCTAGGACCAATCAGACTGCTGCATTTTGGATCCTATTGTTCTAGGACCAATCACACTACTGCATTTTGGATCCTATTCAACTCAGTACATAACAGGTAGGCAACCGAAGGCCCAGGGGCCGTATCCGGCCCAATCGCTTTCTCAATCTGGCCCCTGGACAGTCCAGGACTTAGCATGTTTTTACATGAGTAGAATGTGTCCTTTTATTTTAAATGTATCTCTGGCTTATTTGTGGGGCATAGGAATTGTTCATTATTATTATTTTCCAAAATATAGTCCGGCCCCCCACAAGGTCTGAGGGGCAGCGGACCGGCCCCCTGCTGAAAAAGTTTGCTGATCTTGGCCTTGCAGAACTTCCAGCTTGTGAATATCCTTCTAAAATTGTGGTGCCAGGAAGTGGACACAGGACTCCTCATCCTGGCCCAGTATAGTGATTTTACATTGCGCAGGCCATTAATAGTTTTATAATTTAAATTACATACCGGCTTGCTGATATGATCTCCTTACATTTTCTGGCCATTTTTATTCAGCCAGGCAATTGCCCATCCTGTCACCATCGGTCCTCAAGCGATGGTACAAGGAGCAGGACCCGTTCTCCGCCAACTCCCCTTTTAAATTTTTATTTGCAATTAAACGAGGTTTGCGGCAGGACGGAATATTTCCTCTGCAGCTTTCAAAATTGTAGACATTTGAAAACGTTTCTAGGTTTGAGCTGAAATGTTTTGCGATGTTAAAACAAGGAGCTATTTTACATATAATGAGGTGAAATGTTAAAAGAAGGGGGAAAGTGGTTATAGAAATGCTAAGAATTTATTAAAAGATGTTTGGAAGTCAGAAAGAGGGAGGGAAGGTGAGCAATGCTTAAGGTGATAGATTTATGTAATAAAATGTGATTAAATATGGAAAACTCAATTAAAAATTATCTGAAGATAATAATAATAATAATAATAATAATAATAATAATAATATTTTCTCTGCAGTTTTCTTGCTACACTGTGTCCCTGCTCTGTCCTCCGTTCCCCAGACTAAACAGGCTTGTTTCTATTGTATTTTAATATTCTGTTGGAAGCCGCCCAGAGTGGCTGGGGAAACCCAGCCAGATGGGCAGGGTATAAATAATAAATAATAATTATTATTATTTCTCTTGGTGCCAGCGGTTCGTGCCATCATGTCCTTGAACTGCCTGCCCCGGAAATGGCCCCTGGCGCTGGGACCAGTCTGCTTGTTGCTTTTCCTTGGGGTGGCATTCTTGCTGCTGCATAGAGCAAGGTAAGTTTCCAAGGGTTAAAGGCAGGGGTTAGATAATTTATTACGGCCAAAGACCAGCTCAGATAACATAACACCATGAAAACAGTGTTCATAAAGGTAAAATATACAATCGGAGCAGATTGCAGCAATAGCTCATGAGTTAAAATTGAGTGCGCAGCCTGGGAGTCATTTTGGACCCACAGCTGTCCATGGAGGCACAGGTCAGTTCTGTGTCCAGAGCAGCTGTCTCCCAGCTCCATCTGGTATGCAGGATAAGACCCTCCCTGATTGCAGACAGTCTCGCCAGAGTGATACATGCTCTGGTGATCTCCCGCTTGGACTACTGCAATGCACTCTACGTGGAGCTACCTTTGAAGGTGTCCCAGAAACTGCAATTAATCCAGAATGCGGCAGCTAGACTGATGACTGGGAGCGGCCGCCGAGACCATATAACACTGGTCTTGAAAGACCTACAGTGGCTCCCAGTACGTTTCCGAGCACAATTCAAAGTGTTGGTGCTGACCTTGAAAGCACTAAACGGCCTTGGTTCGGTATATCTGAAGGAGCATCTCCACTCCCATCGTTCTGCCCGGACGCTGAGGTCCAGCTCCGAGGGTCTTCTGGCGGTTCCCTCATTGCAAGAAGCAAAGCTACAGGGAATCAGGCTGAGGGCCTTCTCAGTGGTGGCACCCGCCCTGTGGAACGTCCTCCCACCAGATGCCAAAGAGATAAACTACCACCTGACATTAAGAAGGCGTCTGAAGGCAGCCCTGTTCAGGGAAGTTTTTAATGTGTGACATTTTAGTATATTTTTGGTCTTTGTTGGAAGCCGCCCAGAGTGGCTAGGGAAACCCAGCCAGATGGGCGGGGTACAAATTATTATTATATTATTACTTCTGCCTTCGGCTTCCTTTTCCAGAGAATGGGCTGAAATACAAGAGCAGAAAGAATGCCAGGAACTGATTTGGCTGCTGGAATCTAAGAACCTCTTCTTCGGAAAGTGAGTATGGACACAGGTCGGTGCCCAGCGCTACAGGTCGCAAGCGACTCGCGGGCTTGTTCCGGCTTGTGACCCGAAATCCACCTCCGCTACCATCACTTTTCTGGTCCCATCTCAAATTCCTGCCCGCGGCTTCCAAAACTTCACCGCCTCTCTACCCTCTCTCCATCTAAGCACCGCGAGCGAGCCTTTGCCAACATGGCGCCCCCCATACTACAATTCCCAGCATTACATATCTTTAGGGGCCAGGTGAAAATGTTCATTTTCAACCAGGCCTTGGGCTGATTAACATCTTATTCTCCTTTTAATGTGTTTGGGGGAGGGGGCTTATTGGTTTGTTTTTGTTTTTATTGTGTAATATAGATAGAGAGATGATAGCTTAGATAGATAGATAGATAGATAGATAGATAGATAGATGATAGCTTAGATAGATAGATAGATAGATAGATAGATAGATAGATAGATAGATAGATAGATAGATAGATAGATAGATGATAGATAGATGATAGATAGATAGATAGATGATAGATAGATAGATAGATAGATAGATAGATAGATAGATAGATAGATAGATATAGATGATAGATAGATAGGTGATAGAATGCTGTGAACTGCCCCAAGGTCTACAGATAAAGGGCAACATGCAAATTTAATAAACAAACAAACAAAACAAAACAAAAGTTCCAGTCTCTACCCTCCACACATTCACCTACCTGTGGTTTATTTACCCTGGTTTCATTTCATGTCTGTTTGCGTTTGGCGATGAGGTGCAATTGTACATTGTCTGTGCATATTGCCAACAGATCGTGTCTGGTAGCACTGTATTTTGCAGCCATCTTGCATAACCTTTTTGAAAAATATTATTATTATTATTATTATTAGTAGTAGTAGTAGTAGTAGTAGTATTAAGGGATGCAGGTGGCACTGTGGGTTAAACCACAGAGCCTAGGACTTGCCGATCAGAAGGTCGGTGGTTCGAATCCCCACGATGGGGTGAGCTCCCATTGCTCGATCCCTGCTCCTGCCAACCTAGCAGTTCGAAAGCACGTCAAAGTGCAAGTAGATAAATAGGTACCGCTCTGGCGGGAAGGTAAACGGCGTTTCCATGCGCTGCTCTGGTTTGCCAGAAGCGGCTTAGTCATGCTGGCCACATGACCCGGAAGCTGTACGCCGGCTCCCTCAGCCAGTAAAGCGAGATGAGCGCCGCAACCCCAGAGTCGGCCACGACTGGACCTAATGGTCAGGGGTCCCTTTACCTAGTAGTAGTATTAATTTTATTAAAAAAGCACACCCACCAGGTACCAGGTACAATTCCACACAGCCCTGACCAGAAAGCGAAGTCCTGCTGCGTGAGAGTCTTTGGTCTCCTTCTCTCTTTCTCTCTCCCGGTGGCAGCTTCCAGTACCGCAAGACGTCCAGGAATCAGAAAAGGATCCGTGCCGTCAAGAAGTGGGATATCTGGACTGAGGACAAGAATATCTTGGAGCACGTGCTGCTCACGGAGGAATGCCAGTGGGACCCAGATGCGGCAGTTGTGGCCCAGTACAGGTAAAAATACCCTTCCTAGTCACCTGATCAGCGCGATGCCCTTGGAGGCGACAGGTGAGGGTGTGTGTGGCGCATCCCTAAGCTGCCTTCCCTTCCCTTTGCAGGGCAGAACTGGGGCACTGTTGCAACGCTTCCTCCTTGCTCATCCTGACCAAGGAAAACACCCCTCTGGGATCAAACATCGTCTTTGGGAAGGACGGACGAAAAGTGCCCGTGAGACCTGAGCTGGTGGACCTGCTCCCTGAGGTGCTGGGAAGACTGTTGTTGTTGTTGTATACCTGAAGGAGCATCTCCACCCCCACCATTCTACCCAGAAACTGAGGTCCAGCTCCGAGGGCCTTCTGGCGGTTCCCTCGCTGCGAGAAGCCAAGTTACAGGAAGCCAGGCAGAGGGCCTTCTCGGTAGTGGCACCCGCCCTGTGGAACGCCCTCCCACCAGATGTCAAAGAGAACAACAACTACCAAACTTTTAGAAGACGTCTGAAGGCAGCCCTGTTTAGGGAAGCTTTTAACGTTTGATGCATTACTGTATTTTAATATTTTGTTGAAAGCTGCCCAGAGTGGCTGGGGAAGCCCAGCCAGATGGGCGGGGTATAAATAATAAATTAGTATTATTATTATTACCACTACTACAGTGGTACCTTGGTTCTCAAATGCCTTGGTACTCAAACAACTTGGAACGCAAACACTGCAAAACTGGAAGCAAGTGTTCTGGTCGGACGATCTGAGCGTCTGAGTGCCACACTTCCGTTTTGAGTGTTACGCCAAGGTTTTTGCTGTTTATTTTGCGTTTTTGTGGCTCTTTGTGTGTGTGTGACTGTGTGGAACCTAGTTCCGCAACTGACTGACTGATTGATTGATTGATTGATTGTGTGACTGCAGTACACTGTTTATTTCTTTCATTTTATGGATCAATGGTCTCGTTAAATCGTAAAATTCATTTTAAATGGCTGTTTCCGGGGTTGCTTTTAAAAGTCTGGAATGGATTAATCCGTTTTGCATGACTTTCTATGGGAAAGCGTGCATTGGGTTTGGAACGCTTTGGTTTTGGAACAGACTTCCGGAATGGATTAAGTTTGAGAACCAAGGTACCACTGTATTATTATAATTTCCTTCTCTTTCTTGGCAAGGAGCTCAAAATGGCTTCAGAATTGCTCTCCCGTACTATTTCAGACACATGGGTCTTATATTTAGATGTGTGTGCATTTGTGAATATTTCTTCTATATTTGAGACCTTAGAATTCTTATAATATACCCTTGGGGTCTCCCAGGGTGGAATCAGCCTTTGGCCAAACTGCCCCCCCCCCCGGCGGACACAGGGATGCCCAGGGCCACACTCCTGCGTACAAAACCCAGCGTTTCTTTCGCACGTCGATTCTGAAAACGTTTTAAGACACAGATGTTTCGAAATCTCTCCCTTTCCCCTCGAAACCTCCAGAGATCCACCTTCTCGGAAGTTCAGTACGAGCATTGCGCCGTGGTGGGCAATGGGGGAATCTTGCAGAGGAGCCGCTGTGGGAAAGAGATCGACCAGGCAGACTTTGTAATCAGGTAACTCTTCTTTGAGAGTGATTCAGAGCCCTTGAGGTAGGGGGAATGTTCCTTACTACACTTGGGAACACCCTGTTGATTGAGATCAGGCAAGCGTCTTTGCTGTAGTACCCTTTGGGCCAAAATATTGTTTAGGCCAGCCTACCGGGGTGTTTTGGGACGCGGGTGGCGCTGCGGGTTAAACCACAAAGCCTAGGACTTGCCAATAAGAAGGTCGGTGGTTTGAATCCCCGTGACGGGGTGAGCTCCCGTTGCTCAGTCACAGATCCTGCCAATCTAGCAGTTCGAAAGCACGACATGCAAGTAGATAAATAGGTACCGCTTCGACGGGAAGGTAAATGGCGTTTCTGTGCACTGCTCTGGTTCGCCAGAAGTGGCTTAGTCATGCTGGCCACATGACCCGGAAGCTGTACGCTGGCTCCCTCGGCCAGTAAAGCGAGATGAGCGCCGCAACCCCAGAGTCGGCCACGACTGGACCTAATGGTCAGGGGTCCCTAATGGTCAGCGGTCCCTGGGTCTTTTAAAAAGTGAGGCGAGCTTTAACCTGTTTTCAACCTGTTGTTATTTTAACTTTTGAAAGTATTCGGTTATTGATAAAAAAACAAATAAATCTTGTTGGTGGACATACTGATTGATTTTGTTTTTGAGGGTTTATTTTTTTAATCCAGCGGTGTATAGATTTTATGAACTGGATATATGGATGAATCACAAAGCCATGGTTCATTCAGCTAATGCATGCTGCTGAATTTGCTCAGCTCAAGTTCAGCAGAGGAAGGAAGGAAGGAAGGAAGGAAGGAAGGAAGGAAGGAAGGAAGGAAGGGGGGCAGGTTTCTGGAATTGTTCTCAAATAGAAATTAAATCTGATCAGGCCCAGATCTCTTGATATGGTAAAGGTAAAGGGACCCCTGACCATTAGGTCCAGTCACGGTAACATATCCCTCCTTGATATGTAACATATCCCTCCTTGATCTGTTAGGATGCCATCAATACCCCTGGAACGTAAAACACTTCTGCTTGGTTATCTAAAAGGCACTAGTCTGGAAAATGATGCAAAAATAACATTCAACCTGCTACTAAGATAAGGTTACCAGATTTTTTTTCAATGAATCTGGAGGGCGCTTTTCAACTTCAGTAAATCCAGGGACTGTCCCCGGGAAATGGGGACGTCTGGTAACCTTATACTAAGATTCTAACAGCTAAATATTGGGATGGTACAGCAGCATATCTCCTACATTTATGAAATAAGTAAATAGGAGAGTGTTTATATGAGAGCTGATGCAGACTTTGATTTCTTCTTCCATCTCACCCTCTCCTCTTGCAAAATCCAGGTTCAGCTTGCCTCCCGCCAGGAATTCCTCAGAAGATGTGGGGTCCAAGACGAGTCTGGTGGCCTTGAACCTCAGCAGCCTGGACTCTAAGTAAGAGGAGTGGGGGGCCGGAGGGGGGGTGGCACGCTGAGACGTCTTGTCCATTTGGGGAGCAGGTGCAGTTGGCGATGCTGAGCAGCTGCCTCACCCCAAATTAGGTCCAAACTGATACTGGCCTGCTCTCCCAAGAGCGACACTGAGCTCAGCGTAGCTCGCCGGAATAGCAAAGCATATAAAAAACAGCAAAATGTTAAAAAACAACAACAAACCAACACACAACAGCACATGAAAAGCAAGCAGATCAAGAAAGAGCTAATGCTGTTTGATACAAGCTCATGATTTAATTGTTCAAAAAGGGCCTTGTGCATAAACAATGGCCGAAAAAGGGCTTCTGTGCCCCAGCGAAAGGGGTTTCGGCACATCAGAAGAGGCATTGGCTTCATCAGGCCCATGTTGGACTCAGTGGCGTAGCAGGGTCAGGTGGTACCCGGTGCGGAAACGGCCTTCGTCCAGTATACCTGAAGGAGCGTCTCCACCCCCATCGTTCAGCCCGGACACTGAGGTCCAGCTCTGAGGGCCTTCTGGCGGTTCCCTCCCTGCGAGAAGTGAGGTTGCAGGGAACCAGACAGAGGGCCTTCTTGATGGTGGCGCCTGCCCTGTGGAACGACCTCCCATCATATGTCAAGGAAATAAACAAATATCTGGCCTTTTGAAGACATCTGAAGGCAGCCCTGTTTAGGGAAGTTGTTAATGTTTGATGTATTTATCGTGTTTTTAATATTCTGTTGGGAGACGACCAGAGTGGCAGGGGAAACCCAGCCAGATGGGTGAGGTATAAATTATTATTATTATTATTATTATTACAGTGGTAACTCGGGTTAAAAACTTAATTCATTCCGGAGGTCCGTTCTTAACCTGAAACTGTTCTTAACCTGAAGCACCACTTTAGCTAATGGAGCGAATTTCTGTTCTCAGAAAGTTCTTAACCCGAGGTACTATTTCTGGGTAAGCGGAGTCTGTAATGTGAAGTGTCTGTAACCTGAAGCGTCTGCTACCCGAGGTAAAGGTAAAGGGACCCCTGACCACTAGGTCCAGTCGTGGCCGACTCTGGGGTTGCGGTGCTCATCTCGCTTTATTGGCCAAGGGAGCGGCGTACAGCTTCCGGGTCATGTGGCTAGTAGGACTAAGCCGCTTCTGGCAAACCAGAGCAGCGCACAGAAACGCCATTTACCTTCCCGCCGGAGTGGTACCTATTTATCTACTTGCACTTAACGTGCTTTCGAACTGCTAGGTTGGCAGGAGCAGGGACCGAGCAACGGGAGCTCACCCCGTCGCAGGGATTCAAACCGCCGACCTTCTGACTGGCAAGTGCTAGGCTCTGTGGTTTAATCCACAGTGCCACCCGCGCCCCTCTGTAGCCCGAGGTACCACTATGTTATTATTATGTATCCCCACACATGTGTTACTTGTTTCCTGAAGGCAGCTTCCTTCTCCTTTCCTCCTCCCACAGGTACCAGGGCTCCCAGCGGAAGCGTCTTGCGGATGCCCTGCACCCCTACCGGGACGCCCTCCTCCTCCTCCTCCTCCTCCCCACCCTCCAAAGCCGCGTCAGGAACCCCCCTCTGCACCTGCTGGAGGACTCAGACGTGCTGCAGCAGGCCTCCTTCTTGAACCCCCAGTACCTGGACGCCCTGGGGAGCTACTGGACCAGCGAGGGCTTCCAGCCTGAGTGCCTCTCGCCCAACTTCGCCTTCGTCAGCCTGGCTCTGGAGCTCTGCCAGCGCATCACTCTCTACGGGTTCTGGCCCTTCACGCACGGCCTGAGCGGCCGGCCCTTCCCGCGCCACTCCCAGGTGCGCATCAGGCCCAGCGAGTTCTCCTGCTACCTGAAGATGTACCTGCAGGGCATCCTGAGATTGCGGCTGGGCAAGTGTCAGTGAGGAACAGGGAAATATCTCTCTCTGGGGTAAGGAGGAGGTTGCGTTTCCGCGCAGACTTCAGTTCCGGCATGGGCAAGCCATTTTGGAGAAGCTTTCGGTGTTGCTGGACTCCATCTCCCATCTTCCACCAGGAGCGCAGAGGGATGATGGGAAGTGGAGTCCGGCGATACCGCTTGGAGGGACCCCACGGGCTTCTGGAGGAGGAACAGGGTTGTTTAGTACTACCGGAATCTCCCAAAATGGGGGGAAAGGGGTCCTTCCAGAAGGCTAACGTTGTTCCCCTGCTCCGTTTCTGAGAGTAGAGTTCTGTGAACAGCCTGAACGAAGAGCTGGAGTTGGACATGCCCCCATGCACCCCAGAAATAAGCGTCGGGCAATGGACCTCTAGGACCCATCCCCATAACTAGCCCTTCAGTCTAGAGCCAGCTGGTTGTCAGGGCTTGCAAAGCCCCCTTTCGACCCAGCTGCGTCTCCTTTCCCTGTTCTTGGCCCTCTGCCTTTGCCGCGAGTGGTCAAAATGGTCTCATGGGCGAAATGAGTAGGGTTGGCCGGCTGCGGGGCCACGCAAACGGAGGTTTCCCTGTCCCCAGATAAGGGAGGTTGTTGGTGCATTCCTGAAGGGGACAGTCTCCCAGCCGCAGAGACCAGGGTACAAGGAACCTCCCAAGCTTTGTCTTCAGTGCAAGGGCGTTCAAATCTCAGCCTCTTATTCTGGCTGCTCCTAAACAGTCGGGAGCAAGGAAGCAGTTTCAGCCGCCGACACCGGAAGTGAGGATTTTCCCCGGTAGAGTTTCTTGGTTTCGTTGGCGTTTGTTGTGTTTGTGGGATGTCTGCAGCGGAGAGCAGGAACTGGCCGTCGCGCTGCCTTCTTCATCTCAGCTCTTTGGGAAACTACTCAGTCCATTTTGGAGCACATCAAAGAGCGCATTGCTGGGCGCTTGGGCAGAAAGTTGCCCTTGCCAGGGAAGCAGAAAGATGCTTCCCAGATTTATAGCGGAGCAATAGGTGGTCTGACCCCCCCAACCTGCTTTCCACGCCAATCCTACATTTACTGTGTTGTTAGTTGCTGTTTTACAACTGAATGCTTTTTCATGTGTTCTGTTGAGGCCGCAGGGCCCAGGTTCATGTCTGTTCAGATCTTCAGAAACAAGTGTAAAGAGAAATCAGAGAGGTTCTGAAATAAAACTTGATACAAGCGCAGCTCTACTTTCCCCAACAGCAACTCAGCTTGCATAGAACTTAAGTCTTAAGTTTACTGAACTCCGAAGCCTCAGCTGGGGTCTGCAAAGGTCTTTGTTCAGCTTCCCCACTAGAGTCAAGAGGGGGACTTATAGAGGAAATGGCAGTTCAGTCATCTTAAGGAAAAAACACAGGAAGAACTCAGGCCAATGTAAGTTTCCATAGGGGGAGTGGTCCCTACTCACAATTCAATAGTCGATAGAAACAAGCTTTTCCGTGCGCACGTTGATCTACCCACACGTAGTTGTTTTCCTTGAGAAACGTAGAGAATAACAGGACATATTTATCCGAAAGTCCTCAAACTTACAAACTTAAAAATTAGCTGATGAAGGTGAATACATTGAAACAGGGCCCTGTCCTGGTTTCCAATCCATAACTGACTTCTGCTCAATAAAAGACCTACACTGGCTCCCAGTGCGTTTCCGAGCACAATTCAAAGTGTTGGTGTTGACCTTTAAAGCTCTAAACGGCCTCAGTCCAGTATACCTGAAGGAGCGTCTCCACCCCCATCTGGTGACTGGGAGTGGCTGCCGAGAGATCTGCATTGGCTCCCAGTACATTTCTGAGCACAATTCAAAGTGTTGGTGCTGACCTTTGAAGCTCTAAATGGCCTGAGCCCAGTATACCTGAAGGAGCGTCTCCACCCCCATCTTTCTGCCCGGACACTGAGGTCCAGCACCGAGGACCTTCTGGCGGTTCCCTCACTGCGAGAAGCCAAGTTACAGGGAACCAGGCAGAGGGCCTTCTCGGTGGTGGCACCCGCCCTATGAAACGCCCTCCCACCAGATGTCAAAGAGAAAAACAACTACCTGACATTCAGAAGACATCAGAAGACATCTTTTTTCTTAGTATATTTAATAACAAGAATGCCAACTTATTTAAGGTCAGTCATCTTAACACCTGTAAACTGTAAATGAAACTACTGAGCCTAGTGAAGGACAAGTCTTGCTGAAGGACTTTGCGGCATGGCTTCTGCAAAGGCAAGCACTGGGTCTTTCCGCACATTTTAGCCGAGTTGCCGTGCTGTCATTCCATCAGGGTCATCCTTGCATTTTCTTAGGCTGCAGAAAATCCAATGGCAACCTGTCGGATGCCTTAGCAGGCATGGCCAAACTTGGCCCTCCAGCTGTTTTGGGACTACAGTTCCCATCATCCCTGACCACTGGTCCTGTTAGCTAGGGATGATGGGAGTTGTAGTCCCAAAACAGCTGGAGGGTCGAGTTTGGCCATGCCTGCCTTAGAGGCTTAAGGGAAGGAGCATGAAGAGGGGGGGTGGCCCCATAGGAAAGGGGGGGGAGAGGGGGCAGACCTGGGTGACACAGGCCAAAGACAGTTGGAGGCAGCGATGCTTCCAAAACAGCAGTTGCTCAAAACCATAGGAGGGGAGAGTTGCTCAAATCCCATTGGGACACCTGGTTGGCCACTGTGACAATAGGACCACAGTGTGATGGCCTGGGACTCGGGCTCGGACTTGGAACCGGAGGAGTCTCGGTCTGCACCGGATCCTCTGCCCCAGGCGGCATCTGAACCAAGTCTGGGGCCTGATTCTGAAGAGTCCCTGTCTGCACAGGTTCCCCTGCAACAAGCACCAGCTGGGCTGAGTCAGGGGCCTGAGCCTGTCCTGGCTCCAGATGTGGGGATGACCTCGTTGCCTTCAGCTGGGCCATCACTTACAGCTGCTCCACTACCAGTTGGGTCAGGGGAGGCTGAGGCGGCCTCTGGGTCTAGTAACCCACTGACGTCTCCCGAGCTGCAGAGACTGAGGTCTGAGAGAAGGAGAGACCTGAGTACTCGCAGGAGGAGTGCTCACCTTCAGTCGAGACAGGGAGGTGAATCGCCGGGGATCAGGACCGGCCGTTACCCCGACAAAGATAAAAGGCTGTTGGGCCCTGCCCCAGGTTGCGGGAGCAACATTGCTGTATACTGGGTCCTGCCTGAGATCCTGTACCGGACCTTGCCTGGTTTCCTGCCTCATGTCCTGCCTTGGACTGGCTCCTTGTGGAAGCCTTGGATTCGGAACCGGACCTGGACCGTGTTACTTGCGTTACCCCCGGGCCCAGCACACTGTGCTCACGCTCTTGTGAAAGGGTGAATCTAGGTTAAGTAGGGGGGAGGAACATGGGCTGACATTTTTATGCAGATGTCGTGTGGATGCCAGGAAAAAAAGCTTGGGGCATGTGAGTCCCACTGATCCCACTGCAACCACACATCTGGAAGCAGCTAGCCTATGGCCATGCCTAGAATGGCACTGTTCACAATGCATTCACTGTGCCAACCTCAGCATACAGATTCTTGCTTCTTGCACGACTACCGGCAAGCCAAGGCTGTGCCCCAGTATCATAGTTGTCAACGTTTCCCTTTTTTTAAGGGAAATCCTCTTATTTCGAATAAGATTCCTCGCAAGAAAAGGGGAAAGGTGTCAGCTAGGCCCAGAATCCTCTGCAGCACCCATAATGATTTTAATAACAAATTATTACTTATAGCCCTCCCGTCTGGCCGGGCCTCCCCAGCCACTCTGGGCGGCTCCCAACAAAATATTAAAAACACGATAAAGCATCAAAGATTGAAAACTTCCATATGACACACCCACCCACCCAAAAAAACACCTGTGGATTCTGCAAGTCGTGAGCTGGCTGCAACTCTGAGGAAATTCTGGGATGTCGCTGCCAAACCCTGTCCCAGAACTTCCCCCCGGATGGACACAAAGATCATCTGGCATTTTTTTATTTTAAAATGCATTCTTTAATTTCAAAATACAAACGGACAAGGTGGCGTGGATTGGCTTTCTCCTCCTCCTCTGTAACATGATGTCCTCTCGGACCTCCTTTAGACACAGCTTCTGGAGTGAGCTTCCTTGCACTCACCAACCCAAGACGCAAGCAAGACAACAGTTGCTTCTATCATACATTCAGTGTTATATTGCAGCACAGCCACCAACAGGCTTGCAGAGGAAGGGCTGGTGGTGAGACACTGGGGTAGCCCTGGGCTTTCTTTGGCCTTGGTCCTTCTGGGGCAGGGTGTCCCCAGGCCCCCTGGGACACGCATCCAGCCCCAGGGATGTGGCTTCGACTGAGCAGTTGCAGAAGTAGCACAGGTGAGCTCCTGGCTAGGTGAGGGGAGGTTTGATGCTGCTTTGCCCGAGAGCCTCGCTTGCAAAAAGCGGTCCACGTTGCTGACATACCTTGGGGCAATCAGCCTCTCCTTCAGGACCTGACGCCTGCTGAGATATCTAAGATGGTGCCCTTTGGATGCTGCTAGACTACAGTTTCCATCTTCCCTGGCCATCGGCCGCGCTATCTGGGGCTGATGGGAGAGGGAGTCCAGCAACACCCCGAGGGCATCCCACTGGGGGTGTTTGGGGATGAGAATCGACAGCTCATGCATGGCATGACATTGGGAGACCTTCTAGAGCATCCTTAGCCAACCTGTTGCCCTGCAGATGTTTTCGGACAACCCAGCTGGATGTTGGCTGGGGCTGATGACGGTTGTTGCCATCCAAAACATCTGGCTATCAGGGCTGGAGTCAGACGCAAGTTGGCACAAAAGAGGCAGAGCTCTGTTGTCAGTGAAGTTGACTTTTTATTCCAGGAAATGAACGTACAACTCAGCAACGCTCCCCAGTAGGTGAGCAGTTGCCAGGACTGAAGGTCCTGACCTTCCACCCTCTCTAAGGCTGACTCCTCTCCCAGATGTTTTCCAAGCGGTTTCAAATTGCATCTGCACATCTCTGGTCTCTGTTCCGCTCTTCTCATTACTTTGTGCGCTCTCAGAGACCAGGGGAGAGGGGAGCTTTTTGCAGCCAGAGAGGGAGACTCCCTGGATTCTTCAGCAGCCTCTTGACCCCCCTCCTCTGCTCCACCTTCGGAGTCTGAACTTCACCCTGTCATCTGCTCTTCCTGCTCACTAAATCCTGTTGCTTTTGCATCATCTAGCACCTCCTCCCTCTGACTTCTCCTCTGCTCTGAGCTTTCCTCCCTTGGGGGTTCCCCACTCCTCTTTGTCCAGCCAGGGAAGCTGCTGAGAAGGGAATACGCCCCCTTCCTCCCACCAACCCCCAGGCCAAAGCATTCCCCCCCTCCCCGGTTGGTAGACCCTGAGCAGAAGCTGGTGCTACCTTGGTGGGCTGCCTAGCCGACCCCAACTTACGGGGGGAACCTAACATGTCTATCGTGGGTTTAAAGAGTCAGCAACGCCCCATTCGAGGAAATCAAATGCCTTTGTGCGCCTGGCAGACAGAGCTGAGGAAAGGAGCCCCCCAATGTTGGCACGAGCCCCGGGATCCAGTGGCAGACCCTTCCACCCAGTCTGCACACTCAGCACGAACCAATGCCCGGAGCTACGGTTGCCCCGTTACGCTCGCCTCAGTGAAAGGAGATTGTCTCTACACCGTCCACTGCCCTCCCTCCCTCCGCCCTGGCCGAGCGGGCTTGAGGTGGGGCAGCGAGACGCAGGCTAGCACTCGATGGAATCTTCCAGAAGCTGCAAAAGCGTGGCGGGCATCCTGACATCGCTGACAGGCAGAGGCGCCAGGGGGTCTCGATAAGTGGGCGATGTGGCCTTCGGCGTCTCCTCCCCGTCGTCCTCCTCCTCGTCCTCCGTGGGCAGCTTTTCCAGCTTCGGCAGTGGGGGGACTGGTTCCTTGGGGGCCGGGGTTGTGTCGCTGGGCTCTGTGTCCCCTGGAGCGGAAGTGCCACAGGGAACAACCTGGGATGCGTCCATGCTTTCGCTGGGGGACCCAGGGTGTTCCCCAGCCCCTCTGCCACCCTCACAGTTCCTGTCAGCAGTAGGGCTCTGAGGAGCGGGCTCCACGTGGCTTGGGCCCCCGTTGGCAGGCATCTTGCCTTCTGGCACCGACTCTCCCCCTTGCTGCGGACCGCCCTCGGAGCGCTGTTCTTCCTCGGGTCCCCCTACGGTGTCTCCGAACTGGTTCTCCTCACTGCCCACGGGGAAGAGGGTAGCCTCGTCTTCCTCATCTTCCTCGTCCTCGTCTTCCACCACCTGCAGTTCCACTGGCCGCTCTGCAGCTTTGGGCAAGGCCTCATCTTCCAGGCAGAGAGAGGGGCATTGCTCGAGGGCCTTTCCATTGACGAGAGCCGTCTTGGCCTCTTCTTCCTCGGGCTTCTTGGGGGCCGCACTGGCTCGGGCCTGGCCCCCGCCCTTGGGCACCGAGTTGGCCAGCGGTGCGTCACCAACGGGCAGGCCTCTCCCGCTCCTCGCCGAATCCAGCTTGGAGTTCAGGGCCACCTGGCCTCCGTACGTCTTGGGCGCCTCGTCGCCAAGGTCGCTGTACCCCTCGTTCTGGAAGTAGACGTTATCGGGGTGCGGCGAAGCCTTTCCAGCATTGACCTGTAGAAGGGGAGAAAGGGAAAGGGCCCCGTTAGGAGAAGGGAACCAGGCAAGAAGGCAGGACCTGGCGTTGGGGGCTTTCATCTCAGGGTGCTTCATAGAAGGGACCCTGAAGATCATCCAGTCCAACCCCCTGAAATGCAGGAACATTGACATGAGCCAACAGTGTGACGCGGCAGCTAAAAAAGCTAATGCAATTCTGGGCTGCATCAATAGGAGTATAGCATCTAGATCAAGGGAAGTAATAGTGCCACTGTATTCTGCTCTGGTCAGACCTCACCTGGAGTACTGTGTCCAGTTCTGGGCACCACAGTTCAAGAAGGACACTGACAAACTGGAACGTGTCCAGAGGAGGGCAACCAAAATGGTCAAAGGCCTGGAAACGATGCCTTATGAGGAACGGCTAAGGGAGCTGGGCATGTTTAGCCTGGAGAAGAGGAGGTTAAGGGGTGATATGATAGCCATGTTCAAATATATAAAAGGATGTCATATAGAGGAGGGAGAAAGGTTGTTTTCTGCTGCTCCAGAGAAGCGGACATGGAGCAATGGATCCAAACTACAAGAAAGAAGATTCCACCTAAACATTAGGAAGAACTTCCTGACAGTAAGAGCTGTTTGACAGTGGAATTTGCTGCCAAGGAGTGTGGTGGAGTCTCCTTCTTTGGAGGTCTTTAAGCAGAGGCTTGACAACCATATGTCAGGAGTGCTCTGATGGTGTTTCCTGCTTGGCAGGGGGTTGGACTCGATGGCCCTTGTGGTCTTTTCCAACTCTATGATTCTATGCAGCTGTCCTGTACGAAGACTGAACCTGCAACCTTGGCGGTTCCCGAACGGCTCCGTTTTCAAACATCTCGGCTCCTGAACACAGGAAACCCGGAAGTAAATGCTCCGGTTTTCGAACGTTTTTCAGAACCCGAACATCCGACACGGCTTCCGCTTGACTGCAAGAAGCTCTTGCAACCAATCAGAAGTTGCCAAACATTTCGGATGTTTCAGAACGGATTGCACTTGGCAACCGAGCTTTGTATCAGCACCACGCTCTTACCAACTGAACTATCCATGCCCAGGCCATGCTCTGGCTGGTTACCCCGTGCTTATTGGAGGCAACCCCTTCCCCTTGGAAATAAATTCCTGGGGTGTCATGGATGGGTTGGGGGCAGAGGAATGGTGGGAGGTACTGACTGGGGAGCCACCAGGGGAAGAAGGTGTGGGATGTAAGAATCAGGTGCAGTCAAACACAACATTGCTAGAGGTTGTCTCAGTCCTCCAGCCAGAAATTCCTGCTTTCCAGGACTGAGACGAAATTTCCTATATGTAACTTGAGATGGGCGTGGTAGAAAGAACCAGAACCACAGGCTGGCAACCATCTTGTCTCTCTTGTCTCTATCGATGCCATCTTAACAACAGGACTACTAAGATGCACCTTTGGCTCCAGGCCAAGAGAAGAAAAGGGGAGGCTTTCTCCCATAAGAAGATAGTCACCACATTTAAACTACAGCGGTACCTCAGGTTACAGACACTTCAGGTTACAGACTCCGCTAACCCAGAAATAGTAAGGTAAAGGTACCCCTGCCTGTACGGGCCAGTCTTGACAGACTCTAGGGTTGTGCGCCCATCTCACTCAAGAGGCCGGGGGCCAGCGCTGTCCGGAGACACTTCCGGGTCACGTGGCCAGCGTGACATCGCTGATCTGGCGAGCCAGCGCAGCACACGGAAACGCCGTTTACCTTCCCGCTAGTAAGCGGTCCCTATTTATCTACTTGCACCCGGGGGTGCTTTCGAACTGCTAGGTTGGCAGGCGCTGGGACCGAACGACGGGAGCACACCCCACCGCGGGGATTCGAACCGCGACCTTTCGATTGGCAAGCCCTAGGCGCTGAGGCTTTTACCCACAGTGCCACCCGCGTCCCAGAAATAGTACCTCGGGTTAAAAACTTTGCTTCAGGATGAGAACAGAAATCGTGCTCCGACAGTGCGGCAACAGTAGGAGGCCCCACTAGCTAAAGTGGTGCTTCAGCTTAAGAACAGTTTCAGGTTAAGAACGGACCTCTGGAACGAATTAAGTACTTAACCCGAGGTACCACTGTATTTTCTAACCACTTCTGGGAGCCTTTGTGTGAATAGATGATTACTTGTGAGTAAACATTTTATGCTTTACAAAAGACTGCATAGCGTCTTGTTTTAGGAGGGATTAAACAGGGAAAATACCAGGAAATATTTACAGAGACTCTAACGAGTCTGAGCAAGCTATCTGCCGTGCGTGTGTTTAAAAAGGGGAATGTTAACTCTGCTGATTTTGTTGAACTTGTTGAAAGACAAGTTGGGATAGGATAGCTTAGACAATATATCCTCCCCCGCATCCCTAAACATTCCCGCAGAAGATTCGGAGCCCAGGGATTGGTGGTGGGACGATAATGAGTGGTCAGAGGGAGAAGGCTGGGAAGAGGAGGTGTCAGAATCTGGAAAGGTAACAGGGCTTAGTGGGCGGGGAGAGTCTGTGCAGAGAGAAGTCCGGAATCAGAGGTAGAAGCTGAATCAGGAGAGGAGGGAGGCCAAGAGGCAGAGATGAGTCCAGCTGGTGAAGAGTTGTGGATGTCTCCCCCTGCTGCTGCTGCAGCAACAAGCTCTCCTCCTCCCTGGTCTCACAGAACCAGGAGAGGGGTGAACGAGGGTGGAAGAGAGGTTGTTTGCATGCAGGCACAGTCTCTGATCGCTTGGGGAAAGCCCTGGAGAGGAGACATTGATGACTGTGGGGAGGTGGGGACTTTCAGCTTTGCCAATATCCATGGGGCAAGATCTACCCGGGTTGAACTGCTGCGTTCCTTGCACTCCACCAAGTCTGCGAAGATTGCGTTTTTGCTAATAAACGTGGGGTTTACTGCCGGCTCGCTCTTTGTTACGGGCTCCCCACCTGCCCCACCTCCCTCCCAGTCACATCTTTGGCCTAATCCACTGGTGGCACAGAAGACGCCTCCGCTGGGATAAATTTCTGTTGTTTCTCAGAGGCTTTCTGGTCAAGACATGTTTCAAATGTGCATGCAGGCTCCTTCTTGCCTTCGTATCCCACCCTTCCTCCTAGAAGCACACACATTTCGGAGGTCAGACTAGTTGACCCTTTGGGTCATTTCCAACTCTGCAGTTTTATAATTCTATTACCTCAGCTTCACAACAACCCTGGGAGGGAGGGAGGGAGGGAGGGAGGGAGGGAGGGAGGGAGGTTAGGCTGAGAGAGGCGGTGACAGGACCATGGTCACCCCATGAGCTTTGTGGCTGAGTAGGAATTCAAACCCTGGTCTCTCCCAGGTCCTAGTCCAACACTCTAACCACTGTGCCACACTGCTGGCTTTCATTAAGGCTTGAAGGACCCCTGTCTTTGGCCTGTGTCACCCAGATCTGTCCCCCTCTCCTCCCCCTTTCCTATGGGGCCACCCACCCTCTTCATGCTCCTTCCCTTAAGCCTCTAAGGCATTCGTGGCCACACTTGGCCCTCCAGCTGTTTTGGGACTACAACTCCCATCATCCCTAGCTAACAGGACCTGTGGTCAGGGATGATGGGAATTGTAGTCCCAAAACAGCTGAAGGGCCAAGTTTGGCTATGCCTGCTAAGGCATCCGACAGGTAGTCCTTCTCCTTTCCTCCTGTTACGGAAGGGGGGGGCATGTCTTCTTCACCTTCTTCTTCGCTATAATATATCCATTTATTCCCAATTGTCAAAGGGACTAAAATCTATAAAATCCATAGAAAATCAACGTGCCAATTTGCTCAATTTCTCTAGGACTCCATGACACCTCCCCTGTCCTCCATAATCCCTCAAGCAAGGTGTCAAGACCCTAATCCTGTCAAATCACTCTGCCAAGCCTTTCCTCCAGGAAATGCCAGTACATGGACCATTGTCTTCTCATCAGGATGTGCTTATCTGCGCATATCTCCAGCTCTGCATATTCCCCCCTCCCTCCTCCATATGTTAATCCTGTGTAATCCAACCTCTTCTCAATGTATTCATGATGTAATCTGTGTAACCCAACCCCTCTTTAATGTATTCATGATGTACCTGGGATGTATTTTGCACTGTATTCTGGGACATGGAGGGAAGTTTCAAAAGTTCATGTCACCCCTTTCTCGCTGTTCAATCTGGTCTTGAACCTGTTGCGCAATAAACTTGGATCTTCTGCAGTTTGCTCCTGTCCGGCTGAGCTCATTTTCTTCCGCAGGGACCCGCGGACTTACTTAGTCCAACGAGCTGGGTGGCAGGGTAGCCCCGCACCCAGATTTAGCCGTAACAGTTGGCAGCCCACGTGGGGCTGGCGGTTCTCCCGCGTTGCTGACTGGGGGCCCCGAAATCTTCAGCCGGCACCGGGCCATTTTGCCTGGGAAGATCCTTTGGACCCCCGGCCATCTTCCGGGCGGTAATCGAAAGCCCCAGGAGTTCAGCCGGGGAGCAAAGAGGGATCCAGCCGGCTTATTCATCGATCCCGGGATCATCATAGAAGACACGTGAGTATAAGGAAAAGGAAAATCCAGTGCACTGGTGGGAAGGGGGTGGAAGACTCCTGGCAACTGAATTCTCTGCCCTCCTCTCTATCGCTCCTTCTCGCCTGTCTCTTGGTCCAATTGGTGAGAGAGACCGTGGACTGCTGCTCGACCCAAAAGGGGGGTTCTGAGCTCTATCTCTTTCTCCTCTCAAACCCTCCAGTCAGCCGCACCAATTGAGAGTCCGAAAGTAAGACGGGGAGACCCGGCTTGGAAAGACAGCCGACTCTCCGCAACGGGCATCTCAGTTGAAAGCAAGGGGTTGGAGTTCTCTTTCCGAAGTTCCCGAGCGCCCTTACGGAGGGGGCAGGAAGGGGTCTGGCTTTCTGTCTCAATCCCAGCCGCACTGGTCGGTGCCACGTAACACGTGTATCGTGCGTGAGCCCGCTTCCAAAAGCAAGGGGGACTTTCAGTTCGATTTAGCCGTAACACTCCCAATTGGCACATAGTGATTCCGTTCAGTAACTCTC